TAGAACATCAATAATTAATGAATTAAAACTTATAAAATTAAAAACATAACAACTGTGAGTATATATTATGGATGTATATATGGATCTTCAATTTCTCTAAGGCAATGAAAAATATAAGGGAAATGAAATTACTTAAACATATATATTGATAAATAAAGAGGACTTTCCCTAATGCTACTTTTGTATATAATTGTGTTTTTTTGCATTTAGAAGATAAGTAGAATAGTATTAAACAATAAAAAGTAAAAATAAAAAAAAAGAAAAGAAAGAATACTGAGCATCAATATTGTATGATCAATTTGTGCCCCTTATATGACAAGTTGATAATAACATCTATGCAAAAAATTTGATTATCAGACATAAGTAATTCGAGAGATCAATCTTATCGCCCACTTGCAGTATTAAAGTCAAGAGACGTTAGAGGGAGTACACCCTCAAGCCTCAAGTCTTAATCATTAGGCCAACCCCTAGATTATACATAAAAACAATCGATATTAGATCTTGTAGGTCGGCTTTCTCGCGCTCCCTTTCGGAGGTTTGAAAGAAACCTTACAATTCGAACTCCCGCGGTTCTGAATCTAATCTCACAAGTGCAATGTGAAACTAATAAACACCAAAGAGTCCAAATCCAGCAAATCATTTTGGAAAATTAATTTTGAATCAAAAGTACCAAAATTGAACTGCTTTGCCAGATACAGAGTTGCCGCCTAAATATTTTATTTTAGAAAAATTTAGGAAACCTATAACTCGTGCCAAAGGCCACGTGTCCGTCATCACCAAAGTTGCCTTGGCTCGGGAACTTAGGTCCGAGAGGAGATGGTAATGGATTGAGCACCCCCGCTAGCCCGATCAAAGATCGGCCTCTACTAATCATGATATGAATTTTATGTACATTATGTGCTCTTGTTCCGGCTATTAGGTTAGTTTTATTATGTGATGCGCACAAGCAAGTACAGACTAGTTTGCTCAAGTTGGAACAATTCAATTTTATATTTGTTTGTGAAAATGGTTTGAATTTGCCACCTCAAGTGGGCTTAAAGCTTGCGAATTTGCCACTAAACATAGTGGGCTTAAAACTGATTTGCCACTCAACAAAGTGGGCTTAAAACTTACATTTGTTGAATCGTTCTGATTCAAGTAACAAGCCTTCATCCACAGGCATTCAAACAGTTCATCATTTAAGCATTTAGCCTCATGATGAGCATGCTAAACATGACAACATTCACAATCATGCAAATATGCTAAAGCATAAAAACTCACCTAGTACTCCAAGCTAAGAAAATATAAGTTAGAAAAATATGCATGATTCCTAACTATATGAGATGTCTAATGCAACGCATGCGGAGAATGCAATTAATATGCTCGGCTACTAATATGTTATATGAAACAATTTTGATAACATGCGGTTAAACACGTATTCAACAAAGTATTGAAATGACAATGCAATTTGAATGGTGCGCCGAGCCTCGATGCATGTAAGACAAATGAATGGATGCAAGCATAAGGTATGCTAATTTAAATATGTCCTTAATCTAACCATCAAAAGCGGGTAAATAAAAGTAAGAAAGACGTGGAGTTGGAAGACATACACATTATTACATTACGCTCTCACGAAGGAGAGTTCAAATGAATAAAACTAGCTAACTAACTAAGCTAAGCTAAATAAGCTAATTATTACAAAACTTGAATAAATAATTAACTAACTATCTAAGCTAATTAATTAAAAAAAATTAACCAGGCTAATCTAATTAAATATTACAACACCAAATAATTAGCTACAACTAATTAGGCTAATTAAATATTATAACTCAATTCACTATGCTAATGAAACAATTAAACGATCAAACACTTTCAATATGAGCACCAAGGAAGATGAATGGAGGTTAAATGCACATCGCCTGAAAGCTACTCTGTCTGCCTAGACCGCCTCTATTTCACCTTTAGCTACTACCTCTGTTTCTACAAAATTGCAATGCTGGCCACACACCAAGGGTCGGCCGTGCATTACTGATGGCCAGCCGGGCCTACAGAGGGCCGGCCGTGCATTGATTTGGTGCAAAACTCTGTTTCTGTACTCTAAGGTAAAATCAGTGCAGACAGAGCATTTTTAAGCTTTGTTTGTCCTTCATTCATTCTCTGTCATAGGAAATTCTCAAGAAAATGTTGGGATTGACTCCAAAACCATCAATCAACAATTTGATTGCTTGATGACCTCGGATATCATTTGGACCAAAATCAATAAATGTAATGCAAATGGACCACCGCTCCCTTTTTGTCATGGAATGAACTCAAAAAAGGAAGTTGAGACACTTCAAGGACATCAAAAACACCAAGACTTGATGCTTAATGACACTTGACACAAGAAACTTGGTATAACGTCCGGCCAAGTTCAGTCTATTTAAGCCATTTTCTTTAAATGTGTTGATTCAAGTTTTAAACCAATTACTTTAGCCATACCCATTCATTAGTTCATTTGTCCAAATATGATGTTAAAGTCCTCTAAACGAGAAGTGATGTCAAACAAGAGGTCCTTCCAAGACATGAGAAAGAGACTACACCGTTGACGATGAATCTCCAAAGAGATTAAACCACTAAGTGTAGGTCTCCTTTACATGCACTGAACAACCTCAATCGGTTGAAACCATTCTCATGAATGAAAGATATGGAATGATTGATTGATTAGTCAACTTAGGCTCCAAACATGGAAAATGAACAAAGAAAGCATAATAAACAAGAGGTATGCCAACTTAATGAGACCACAAGTGCATTAAACAAGGCATGTACCAATTGAAAAAGGCTAGACAACCTCAAAACAACCCTAAATACATGAAAATCAAAGATAAAACATGCATGAAAAGGGGTTGAAAAACTAGACAATAAATATGAGAATTAAGTTTAGTAAATAAGGATAAGGAGGGGTGGCTAACCCTTCCATTTTTGAAGCTTCAAAACATGGTTTTTAGCCTTTTCAAACCTCTGAAAATCAGTGTAAATGCCAAAGGAAAAGAGTGAAAAGAAAAAGGTTTGAGTTATGAATAAAGGTGTAGAAAGAGCAAGCTTTCTCTACCCTTTTGGTAACTCTTCAAACCCAACTCCAACAATTCAAACAATGTCAAAACCAACCAAAACAACAAGAATTATGAAGTAAAGGATAGAAATGAAAGCAAGAGAAGAGAAAACAAGCTTATACATTTGAAGAAGTAGGCTTGTTCTTGGAGTTTCAAACTTAGTTTCAATGCACTCTCAAGCTTGAATTACACTTCCTCAAGATCAACCAAGGCTTTAGGATGGTAAGACAAGGTTGTATATGATGCATATAGGTGGTGTAAGCAAGCTAGGTTAGCTCAAAGATAACTTGCAATGGAAGAAGGAGGAGTGAAAGGCTTTCAAGGTATATATATCTCTTCTAAAATTTTTATTCAACCCTCAAAACAATCCCAGAGCTTCAGTCTTATAGAATTCGAGCTCAAAAGGTGATAAATATCTTCAAAAATGCACAGTTGGCGGCCTCCCGCCTAAAACAGTGTTTATCGCCATCGAAGGCCGGCCGACCATTCATAGCCACGACCGGGCCTTGATGACCTCCCCTGTTTTTTTGGTTCAAACTCAGCTCAAGGTGAAACCTAAGGGTTCAAACAAGGTAAATGTTGAAGTTGTGAGGTTATTTCGGAAGCCTGATTGATTCCGAATCGCTACGAATTCATAATTCAACTTTCATCATTGAGTGCATTGAACCAAGCTTCTGAGTCTTGCGGACAGTCAAAAATGAGGTGTCTACAGATCTACTTGATTTTTATATAGATAATTTTCTAAGTTGATTTATGAGATGAATGGTTTAGATCATATAAGTGAATCCAAGTTAACTATAAAGGTTCAACTTCACCGTAAAGTTGAGATTTTTAATTTTTATAAATCTGGACTTCTCAAAAAATAGAGAATTCTACAATACACATATTTTACCATATATATTTTTAGTTATGCCATTTTATTCTTTAGTTATAACATTATTTTGAGATATTTGGTTATGCCTCATGTAGTGATTGGTTATGACTTTTTTATTTTAATTATAATTCAAAAAAATATAAAATTATGTCATTTTCTATTTTAATTATATAGTGTATATGCTACACAACTTTTTAAGATGTGAGGTTATTTCAGAAGCCTAATTGATTTCGAATCGCTACGAATTCATAATTCAACTTTCATCATTGAGTGCATTGTGCCAAGCGTCTAAGTCTTGCAGGCGGTCAAAAATGGGGTGTCTACAGATCTACTTGATTTTTATATAGATAATTTTCAAAGTTGATTTATGAGATGAATGGTTTAGATCATATAAGTGAATCCAAGTTAATTATAAAAGGTTCAACTTCACCGTAAAGCTGAGATTTTCAATTTTTATAAATCTGGACTTCTCAAAAATAGAGAATTCTACTATACACACATTTTATCATATATATTTTTAGTTATGCCATTTTATTCTTTAGTTATAACATTATTTTGAGATATTTAGTTATGCCTCATGTAGTGATTGATTATGACTTTTTATTTTAATTATAATTCAAAAAAATATAAAATTATGTCATTTTCTATTTTAATTATAAAGTGTATATGCTACACAACTTTTTAAGATGTGTACCATGATAGTCTTTCAATAATGTTAGGTAATTTAAAATTTTGTGGCTCAAATAGCTCAAATTACTTAAAACGACGTCGTTTTGAGTGTAAATGAGTGTAAAATGACATCGTTTTGATATATTTGAGTCATTTGAGTCCCAAAATTTTGAGTTACCAAACATTTTTCATAGCCTTTCCTCTAAAAAAAGTAAAATTATTTAATACTCCTGGGACATCACGTGGTAGTATCCCTCACTAATCATAAACCTCCATAACCCCTCATATTCTATAATCACCCAACACAAATTCGTAAACTTTACCTTTTCACCAATCAAAACACTATTAAAACACCACATGACGGTACCAAGCCCAACCAATAACTTCTTAAAAAAAACACACACATTAATTAACGGCGTCAGAGACAGTTAAAAGGCTCCGTTAATCGTGTTCACTCTGTAACGATTATCCAACTGAATTTCCCACCATAAAGATACTGCTCCTCTCTCTACTCTCTAACTCACTCTCTCTCTCTCTCTCGCTCCATCTCTGCAAATCCCATTACACAGAACCCACATTCTCTCTCTCTCTCTCTCTCTCTCTCAGTGGATCATTGTAAAAATCTCAAAAGAAACCCATCTATCTCCACTGATTCGCCATTCAAGAACTTCAAGAAAACCGTTTCAAATCACAAAAATGGCGAAACCCACCTCTCTATCTTCCCCATTCCTATCTTGCTTGATGATCTTCTCACTCTGTTCCATATCCAGAGCACAATCACAATCACAACAAAGTAGCAATCAGTTGATCAACTTCAAACCCCCCCACCCCTTCTCTCCTCTGTTTCTTTTCTCATTCTTCTTATCAAACTAATTTCAATTTTTTCATTTTTTTTTTGGGTTCTCTACAGGTCCGATCTATCTTCAATTCTCTCTCAACGCAACAGAGTTCCCATCAGAAGAATACTACGATTACATCATCGTCGGTGGCGGCACCGCTGGGTGCCCATTGGCGGCGACTCTGTCGCAGCATTTTAGGGTTTTGGTGCTTGAACGAGGTGGTCTTCCATATGGAAACCCTAATTTGATGCGCGAAGAGGGTTTTCTCACCGCTCTCTCGGAGGTGGACATCTACAACTCGCCGGCGCAACCATTCACCTCCGAAGATGGGGTTCCAAACACCAGAGGCAGAGTTCTTGGCGGAAGCAGCGCAATCAATGCTGGGTTTTATAGCAGAGCCGATCAAGAATTTTATAGAATATCGGGAATGAATTGGGATTTGGGTTTGGTGAATCAATCATATGAATGGGTTGAGAGGGCTATTGTGTTTCGTCCAGAGCTCAAGAATTGGCAATCGGTGATCCGAGACGGATTATTGGAAGCTGGTGTTTATCCTTACAATGGGTTTAGCTTAGATCATTCTTTGGGTACCAAGATTGGTGGTTCTACCTTTGACACCACCGGTCACCGCCACAGTGCTGCTGATCTTCTTAGTTACGCAAAACCATCAAACATTCGAGTCGCTGTTCACTCGAGCGTCGAGAGAATTCTATTAGCTTCTTCTTCGGCCTATTCGGGGTCAAAACAATCTGCAATTGGGGTTGTTTATCGCGACCAAGTTGGGCGATACCACCACGCTATGGTGAGGGAAAAGGGCGAAGTATTGCTCTGCGCCGGTGCTCTTGGCAGCCCGCAGCTTCTGCTTTTGAGTGGCATTGGCCCGAGGCCTTACCTCTCGTCTTGGGGAATTCCGGTTGCTCATCACTCGCCTTATGTTGGGCAATTCCTCTATGACAACCCGCGAAATGGGATCTCAATTGTGCCTCCAACTCCATTGGAGCATTCTCTTATACAGGTTGTGGGCATTACCAATTCAGGGGCTTACCTCGAAGCTGCCTCGAATATCGTGCCTTTCTCTTCCCCAGCTCGCTCAGTTTTCATTCACAACCCGTCTTCGCCGCTATTTCTCACAGTTGCCACAATCATGGAAAAGATTACTGGACCGTTATCTACGGGTTCGCTCCGGTTGGCTTCAACCGATGTTAGGCTCAACCCAATTGTGCGGTTTAACTATTTTAGTAATCCGGGGGATGTGGAGCGGTGTGTCAACGGTATGCGGAGGATTGGTGATGTGCTGAGAAGCCGGTCCATGGACGAATTCAAGTTCCGGGAATGGTTTGGTGACCAGGGTTTTAGATTTGTGGGGCCTGCATTGCCTGTTGATCAGTCAAATGATGTGCTGATGGGAGAGTTTTGTCGACGGACAGTGAGTACTATCTGGCACTACCATGGCGGCTGCCTGGTGGGAAAGGTGGTTGATCGGCATTTAAGGGTTATCGGGATTGATGGTCTCCGAGTTGTTGACGGTTCGACATTCACTACATCTCCAGGGACCAATCCACAGGCTACTGTTTTGATGCTTGGGCGGTGAGTGTTTTTATAGTTACTTGAATGCATAACTGTTGTGAGATTGAATGGTAATGAAAAGGGCTTATTAACTTGTATGTTTATTTGTTTCTTTGGCAGGTATGTGGGTATGAAGATTATCAAAGGGAGAATGAAATAGAAGCAGCTTTTCATGCTTCTAATCTGCTTGGTGGCAACTAGTGTTTCTCTTTTGCTTCCATGTTTGTAATTTTCTGTCATATGTACGTATGTTTTTGAAGATAAAGCAAAGGCACATGCAGAAGTATTGAGTTTTTTTCTTCTTTTTTTTTTCTGAATTCATTCATTGGATGAAAAATAATGCATGATAAGAAAGTTTTGTTACTCATTAAAGAAATTAAAATAGTAGAGCATATTGAAGGATTCAGCATTGAAGGATTTATGTAGGTTTTGTTAGTGATTTGAGTAGGACTAAGTCCTCTTTGGGCATGTGTAGGGCAGCAGAGCTGTGGAGCACCGCCCAGGTAGAGTATGCTCTGATCCTATTCATGAATCATTTTGCTTTGTAGTTATGGATAGAACTTGAATAGGCTTAGTTGTTTCAATCTTCCAATACCTATAAAACCCCTTTAAGTGATTTGCATACAGCACATTTTAGAATCTTACCATCCCAAAGATTGTCAAAGCAGCAAATTGTCAGTCAGTGTATTGTTCACTTGCAACTTTTAGATGAACCACGAGTTCAATAAGCAAAGCCAGCCTTCTTTCATAATAAGATTGCAAATAACATCAAGACTCTTAAGAAACATTATGGACTAATGATGACAGGTTATAGTCGGTTTTCTTGATTATAATGAGAAACAAGGAAATGAGGGCTTCATCAGGTTAAAAAGATGCAACAACTTTGTTAGGTTCGAAAGAAAGAGACTTTGTTGAGAAAACGGGTACTTGAGAATTAACAGCTCTATTGTTGTTCAATGTCTGAATAAGAGATATAGAACCAGCTTTGTCATTGGGTTTTCAAATTAGATTCTTTGGAGAAACTAATTAAAATCTTGCAATGTGTCCTAACAATCCTAATTAATATATCGTCATGCATTTAGAAAGTTCAGACTTTATTCTTTAGTATTATGCCTTTTCAATTTCTTTTGTTCATTTTGCTCTTGGTCTCCCACTACAACTTAGGAAGGGATACTTGAATATGAATGAAATGTATCAAAATTAGTACAAGTGAAGATTAAACATATACAGTAATCATAATTTCAGAAAATGAAGTTAACAGATGCCGGAAAAGAAGCATGCAAGTGTTTGTTTTCTTCTTGATTCCATTACATTGGTTCTGGAATGTATGGTGTTTTGTATTGAGATGGAAATAGTAGTTAGAATTGGTTCCTAAACTGGTGCGGGTTCACTAGTAGTAAGTAGACTTGAGCCCATGATAGATTTAACTGATACTGATGGTAGATGAGATACCAAACAATAGAATTGCGGTTGGTAAGTTATAGTTGAGCAGTTAGTAAGTTATAGCTGATTGATACATGTTGATTGAATCATTGTTATTTTCCATTTGAAATGTCCCTCTGCATTGATGCTGATTTGTTAGCTTCTATATTGTTGTAATGGATCGTTTCTTTTGAGCCTTTTATCAGTAGCTTGATGAGTGAAATGAAGTGGAAAAACCAGAGTTTCATTCATGTAACCAGAAATTTTCCCTTATGGTCCAAGTGGGCATCGGATGTGGCAACATGGATTAACTCTCACCACTAATAGAGTCTAGCCATGAGCATGATAAATTAGCATCCACAGAATTCACAAGGTCATCTAAATGCTTATGTTCTCCTGAGAAAGGTAACCTAAATTAAGCTTATCTTGTTTTGGTTGTAGAAATGTCATTGAACCATAGGAAGAATTTAATCTACTGATTAAAACTTGGCTTAAGTATACAAAAAAATATAATTGAACATGCTGGTATTCATCATTTTTTTGCAATCAAACCTCCTCTAATATCTTCATGTTATAGGGCCTCCGTGTTGATTCCCTTTGTTTTTGCTCAGTATGCGCCCTGATTTGCCTTCATTTTACTACACAATGAAAGCTTCACATAGATAATAATTTGGTGCAACCACGAATCAGTTCATTGATTAATTAGCTTGAGGGATTTAAAATTGAGTCTTTTTTGAAAATTTACTCTCAAGAACTACATTTTGCGAAGCAATAAGATCTGTTGTTTCATTTTGGAAGCATATTACTATCCGTTTTTTAAGGTTATTTGTTTAATGGTCTTACAATGACCAGACCTGAAACTTCACCTTTAATCTGACGTTGATCCTCAGTTCCTTCGCCGCAATATTATTCTTCAATTCTCCTGCCACCAATTTTGAAATCATGAATTAACTGATGTTTTGTTTGTGACTGGTGAAGGATTTCATATTGTGTTTCCTTGGTTTAGTATGCATATCACTACGTGCATACGTGGCATGGCTTGATAGCTTGTAAATTATATTTCTTCTAGATGAAATCATTCGTGTGTATGTGTCATTGGTGTCATTGGTGTATTTAGCCGAACCTCTTCTTTGGTTTTTTGCTGGTTTTCCATTTATTCATTCTTCTATGCTCGGTATTATGGATGCATCGTGACATATAGTTCGGATTGCGACTATTTCTTCATTTCAAGTGAGGTTTTGTTGCACCTCAATAAAAATTTCGGAACTTAACATAATGTTATAGTTCTGTTATGACATGAACCATGAGTCTGTTTTCTACCTGTATATGCGCACAAACATTTTTAGCCTCTAAAAGTCCATGTTTGTTTACAACTTTTAGCGTCTAGTTCTTTCTCCACGGATCAGTTGTATCCATTATGTATATGGATTTTTCAAAATAAATTAAATATTCGTGTTAGATACTCGATACTTGGATAAGAGTGTAGCGGGATATATTTGTATCACTTTCACTTTATGTAAATATTATTGTATAATTGCTAAAAAATATGAATAAAATATTTTTCGAAGGAGAGAAAAGCCAGAGATGAGAGTGAAAAGAGAGAAGAAGAGATTCTTTAACTTTTAGTCTACCAATGAGCCGTGTCCCAAACTTCGCCCCCTCCCTGCGTCTCTACACAGAATTGCCGCGATTTGATTCGCCATTAAAGCTCAGATCCAAAACCTAGAGTTCTGTTTCTCTTTCGTAGAGGTCGTGATCGGAACTCCTTCTCGTCAAAGCACCCAGGAAATGTTGTGCTTGTTTTCTATAAGCTCAGTTTGTTTTTTGATGGAGTAGTTATTTTGTTTATTTTTGTGCTCCCATCAAAAGCTGTGTGTTGAACTTCATTGTATATTTTTCTTTTTTGGTTATAATATGACTTACTTATCCAAAAAAAAAAAATATTTTTCGAATACTATATTTTACACATAACACTATTTTATATATAAATATATGATTATTTTTTGCCAAATGTACGTATCTTTAAATTTAAAATTTGATAGATTGGCCATCAGATACGAAACTGTACCCGACACCATTACATGAGTTCATGTACTCATAGTCCACTATGATATCAGCAAATTGATGCCCTTCTTTTATGGTTGTCCATGAAAGCAATATATACATTAAATAAAGTCATTTTTCTGAACTGAGATAGGTTCAATAGTTTATGCAATATGCTCATACAAATGCAGCCACCTAGATGTTTAACTTCTAGTATAAGCTATCATTATTGATGTTCTTGACCAAATTCACACACCAAGAAGATTCATGCTCCTGACATTGGGGGATTTTCTTTGAAGTACTTCTGGAAGGAGCTATGAACCTCTTCTGTTGATCATGGAAAACAAGTTTATTTTAACAAAAAATATTTTTTAATATTAAAAATAAAAATTATTTTCCAGATTAAACTCTCACTAATGGCACTACACTATGATATACCACTAGCACTACCACCATCAACGTTGCCACGACTATCACCACTGTTAGTGCCACCACCAATACCGCCACCGCCACCATTAGCATATTAGTTTTAAGGGTAAATTACACTAATCTTTCTTAAAATTTGGAGAAAATAAGTCCACAGTTTTGTAATAATTACACCGATCTCTCTTTTAGTAAAGACTAAATAGACCGGAACTAATGCATATAATGTGAAGACATAAATAAAAAAGGTAAAATATACATTTTAGTATAATAGATGATATGCTCATTCATATAACTAACGAATTATTGATGAAAATAGACTTATGTAAGTTAAAATTTCAAAAGAGTTTGATATAATTATGCCAAATTTATTGGATTTTTTTTTATATTTTCTCTAAATTTTAAGAGAGATCAATGTAATTTATCACAATTTTAAAGTTGTAATTAAATATTATAAAACATTTTTTTTTTTCAACAAAGTACATTTTTCGTCTTTATGTCATATGCTGCTTAATTTCCTCCAAATCTTTCTTTTTTCTTACAATCTTGCTTGCAAGTTTGTTATTCAAATAATATTATGAACTATCTAGTTGAGCAACATCTGATAGGGGTTACAATGATTTGATATTTTTGTCATGTTTCTTTGTTGTAGTTCCAAAATTTATTATTATTTGGTTGAGTAACAAGTGTGTGTGTCAATTTTTAACCACACTGTCAATCAAGCACTCAGCTGGAGAACACTGACAAAATAGATTAAGCCTGAACGACCTATCACAAAAAGAAGAGATTCCGGCGGTGGTTCGTCCACCCGGGGGCACTCTGACGATCAAGTCAGTTATCTCTCAAAGATAGCAAAAGTGCTTAACTCATTATTCAAAGCATAGAAAGCATACCTTAGACCCATGGAGGTGCCTCTCTTTTATAGCCAACACTTACCTAATCCCAATAGAAACATAGCTTCAATGGACTTAGGATTACTGCTAATCTTAGACTCCTAGTAAGATTGGGATAAACTCTCTAAGAGTCTTATCTTTATCCAAACTGAAGTCCTCTCCCATTCTAGGACTCTTGTCCCTTATCCGCTTATCCCGGATCCTGGTTTCTTCCAGATAACTTCGACCTAGCCGAGATCATCTCAATGTCATGACCAAGACACGTGACACCTCGGCTGACACTTCGGTGTCACCTCGGCCACGTGTTGTCATTCAAAAATTATGTCCCTACAACTGCCCCCTAGGTTCTATTAGCTCGGTATCCTGAGGTGATGGAACCTATATCATTCCTTTCATTTAGCACATCGGCTAAATTCGCTTTATCCTTCATTACCAAAGTCATCATTCGTCAGCTCAAATATGACCAAGACTTAGTCTGTTTTCATCAATGCCTTAGAACCAAAAAACCAAGTTTTGTTCAAGTTTCACAACCGAGATCGTCCT